CTTTGCAGTGAGATCTGTCCTCAGCTGCTCCCCTCCTGCCTCTGCTGTGTGCTGGGAATGGTGCAGAGCATTGCTGCTGCTGTGCCCAAGTGAGCATCCTGCTTGGAGGGCGGCAGGGCTCAGTGCTGCCTACACAGCCAGAGCACCTATGCCCAGGACCACACAGCAGTGACGGCTGGGGCTGCACCCAGGTCTGCATCAGCACAGCTAGGCAGGTTCTGGTGTCTGGGAGCTCTCACCTACTCCCTGGCCAGCAAACATCACTCATGTGTGTGCTCCCAGTTGCAGGTAGGATTTCCCCACTGGGGTTGCAGGCACATCCATGCAGCCCCAACAGGGAACCATACTGGCATGGACCTGTGGGGGCACTGGTGACCTCCCCTGACCAGGAGCCTCAGGGCAGGCTGGGTGAGCAGGTCCTTGCCAGGCAGAAGATGCAGGACTGACCTTTGGTGGTGGCACAGCCAACGCTGTCCCCTGCCTCCTTCCTTTCCTGAGCTGGATGCAACAGTCCTTGAGCTCTCCACCACACCTGCTCCAGCCAGAGTCCTAGAGTCCCATGGAGGACACAGGCTTGGCATCTTCCATCCCTGGTGGGCAGGCACTGACTGCTCCTCTCTAAACCTGGTGCCTGGCCAAGCTCAGATGCCTTTTCCAAAGCTGGAGGCTCTTCTCCACCGGGCTTACGGTCTGGGAAGAGGTGGTGGTGCCAGACACAAGGCCTTGGTCTGTTTGTTCTGGAGATCTGCAGGAGGTGGCAGTGCAGCCCCCCACTGTCCCCTATCTGCTGGAGGAGTGGGGTTTGGTGTCCCTTCCATGCCTGCCTGCCTCTGAAGAACTGGACATAGAAGAGCTTGCTCTGAAGACCTGTTTGGGGTCTCCTAGCCACTGTGGAGAAGAACCCAATGTCCTTTATGTGGCAGCCTGCAGGACAGCCCTTGCAGGAGAGCCAATGCCTACCTCTGCAGTGGCTGCTGCAGCAGAGGATGTGAGGGTATGTTTGAAAGCATTTAAAGACCTGTCCTCATCCCAGAACATGTGAGCAGAGCTGCTCTGGCAGGAGTAAAAGGCCCCTGAGCTGAAGCAGGGTTCCTGTTGCTGGGGAAGAGCACTGGGACCTAGCCAGTGCTCCTTGCTAATGGGAGAAGCTGCACAGGGCCCCATCTCACGGGGTAAACAACATCTCTCTCTGAATTAGACGTGTACATGTGTGCTCAGATTGGGCTTGCACTCCGTGCTCCCTTGGTGGAGTTGTCTTACGGGAAGGAGCCCTCCCAGTACTGGCACACTTCCTCTGTGGTACCGATGAAGAGAGGAGCAGATGCTGCAGTGAGTCTGCAGGAGAGCTTGAGGGGCTCTGCCTGCCGTGGGTCTGGTTTGGCCAGGAGAAGCACCCTGCAGGTAGGTGTCAACCTGAGCGTGTTGGGAGACTCTTGTGCCAGCTGAACAGTCCTGCAGTGTGCAGGACTCAGATTTAAACCCTTGGGTGGGCAGGGTGAAGGAACCTGCAGCTGAGTGGTATCTCAGGGGTCAGCTGCCCTTGTATGCTGCTGGGGAGAGGCTTGGGGTCACCACTCCGGAGCCCACTACCCCAACAGTCTCCCATGGCTCGGACTGCAGTGTCTTTTGCAAGCATTTGTCTGGAGTGGGCCAACTGAACAGCAACAGCCACGATGAGTAGATGTTTCTAGACCATTGACCAGGCACTAGCTACCCTTCCAGTGTTGGTGCTAGCACGTCAAGAGGGCTGGTGCACAGTCTGTGTATATATACACACAGGTATAAGTGGCCCCTGATCGCCCCTGTGAAGGTCTTCACTTGTATCTGGTGTGCCAGATCTGCCTGTATAGTGATGCTTCAGTAGCCAAACCCGAGTCCTCTCTTTCAGTGTGTATAGGGTCAGAAAGGAGATGGGGCAACACTGAAACCTGCAACTCAGCTTCTTGGGTCTCCAGCATATGTTCTCTGCACTGGGCAGATGGCCATGGGCTTTCCCTTTGAAGAAGGGGTGGGAAATTGGTCTATTTTGTTCCAAGTAGAGACCACGGCTGTGGGCAGATGGCCATGCATCCTGGGTGCTGCTGGCTAAAAGCTGTCACTGCTTTTATTTGAGGGGAGCAGTCTCAGTGGTCAGTAACTAGCCCCGCACACAGCTCAGCCCAAAGGCTGCCTGCCTGATATCCTGCTCTTTGTGCTCCAGGCACAGAGCAGGGCCACTGACTGCTGTCCCCAGTGTCACAGTGACAGCAGGGCAGGGGGCATGGCTGCCATCCCCAGTGCTGGCCTGCAGCAGTGGGCATGGTGGCATGGTGGTGAGGGCACAGACGTGGCTGCCTTACATAGCAGGATCACTGTGGCAGGGCTGAAACCCTTCCCATGGAGTGGAAGGTTCAGGCTAAAACATTTCTGTCCAGTAACTGCCCAGTGCCAGCACAGGGCAGGACAAGCCACTGCATGAGATGCCACAGCTTGGGGTGTCCCCAACAGCAGTGCTTGGCCCCTAACAGGGCTGGTAGGATCACATAACAAAGTGTTTCTGATCTCAAGAGTTGCTCCTCAGGAACCACGAGGCAGCGCTGGCATCTCCTTGTCATTTGTGCTCAAGCAGAGTGAGCTGCTGGCCCAGTCTGGGGTTACCACTTGAGCCAGTTGCTGTGACCCCATGGATGCCAGTGTCTTCAAGAGGAGAGCAGCAAAGCACACATGTGGCTGGTCTCTGCATGGCCACTGCCTGGTTCTGGCGGCACAGGCGTCGTGTCCCATCTCTCTCCAAAGTGTTTGTGTGCATACTGCCCACCGTGGCATTTATCCTCGGGTCTTGGGGTCGGTAGACTCTGAGTGTAGCAAACTGCCTGGCTGTTTGATTGACACTTTTTGGGAGGGTGGGGAGAAGTGATGGTTTCCTGCTGTACTGTGTGAATCTGCCGTTTATCCCGGCTGTGCACAGGTAAGTGTGCATCCAGGCAGAGGCTGTCTGGGGCACTGGGCTCCTCGGAGGCTTCCTGGCTGCCTCTGCAGCGCTGGGTTTATGCTGCTTGTCTGTGTGCCTTGCAGGCTCTGAAAAGGAAGCCGGACCTCTTCCTGTGTAGCAACCTGGATGTCAAAGCAGTGTTTCAGTGTGGTGAGTACCACGCTCCAAATCACTCTGCAGAGAAGCCAGGCCCACTCCTCTGGAGCTGGCACAGACCAGCCAGGGGTAGGGGACCACAGGGCTGATTTGGGATGGCATGTAGGGTTTCTGGCTGCTAACCTGAGCAATTTCTGCCTTCAGGTGTCCTTTCACTCAAGTTCCCAGAGGCCCCAACAGTCAAAGCATCCTGTGGCTTTTTTGTGAGTATCCTGGCATCGTATAGCCCCCCCAGGAGCTGGGAGGGCAGGAGCAGGGCTGAAGGTTGGCTATGGAGCCTGCTATGGCACTGATCGGGCTGGACTCTGTGTTGCAGACAGAGCTGCTGCCCCGCTGCGGAGAGATCGCCCCCGTGGGACAGGTCGTGCATGAGAATGGCAAAGTGCTGCTGCAGGCAGTGCTGGAGGTGAGAGATGCCAGGGTCACAGAGCTTTGGGCTCTATTCCTGAGCAGCATCTTTGCTGAGCTGTGATCAGGCAGCCCAGCAGTATGGGTGGGTGCAGGCAGGGTGACAGGGTCTGTCTGCTCTGTGGCAGGGTGTCGGTGGCCAGGCTTCCCGCAGCCTCATGGATCACTTCGCAGAAATCCTCTTTGCCTTGAACAAGCACTGCTTCAGCTACCTGAGCGTCTGGATCAAGGAAGCCATGCAGGAGGATGGCTTTCCCTCGGCTCGTGTCAGCCCTGAGCAGAAGGAGACCTTCAGTCAGCAGATCCTCAGGTTTGTGTGCCCTCACTGTGGCAGCTGTGTCCCACAGGATGTGGTGGGCCTGACCCCCTCTGTGTGGCCTCATGCATCCCTCCTGCTTCATTTTTGTCCTCTCCCTCCGTCTTAGCAGAGAGCGTGTGAACAAGCGGCGAGTGAAGGAGATGGTGAAGGAGTTCACCCTGCTGTGCCGAGGGCTGCATGGCACAGAGTACACAGCAGACTACTGAGCAACTGGCCAGGACCGTGGACAATTTGCCTGGACCAGCTCTTCCCTGCAAGGAAGTCCCCTCATCCGCCCCACCCTGCTGCAGTACGGCTCATAGAATAACCCTCCACCTAGAATTAACCCACTCAGGACGCTCCTCAGCTAGATTTGGTGGCTGCATCTCGTTGTCAGCATCTTTGTTCCCCCCAGCATGCTCCCCCCTCGCAGGGGACAGGAGTGCCGGCGGCAGGAGGCGGCAACAGGGAGGAGGAAGCCTGGGCAGGACTGCCCCGCACCCGGGCTACCAGCCCTTCCCTGGCACTTCCCCGTGGGTGCCCATGCCCGCAGCGGGGAGGCTGCCCCTGTGCCCATGGCAGTGGCTGGCTGGGCAGGGGGGGTTGCCCCCTGCTTTTATTTGTATGTGTGTGGTTGGGAGGGGGGAGGCCCTGCACCTAATTATATTAAGAATATTTCTATGTTGTGGCTGTCCTTATTGTGGTGACTGGACTTTGCCTGCATCTTGCCTCTAGGGAGGAGGCTAGTGGAGGCACCTGTATCAAGGCTGGGGTGCCTCAAAGCCTCCTGTCCCTCCTGGCTAATGGGAGGGATGCAAAAGCAGCCCATACATGCTTCCCATGCTCTCCTGCCTGGCATGGAGTAGGAACAGTCCTGCCCCACATGAAGGGTGACGCTCCATCCCCACTGAATATGGGGTCCTCCCTGCAGTACAGTATGTGTGTGCCTCACTCTTCCTCAGATCAGGTGAGGGGCTTGCTCAGTCAGAGCCTTCTCCCTGTTGCCTTAACTCCCCAGCCCAGCTTGTGAACAGGCTTTCATTTCTGGGTGGTCCCAGGTCTGGGCTTCTGTTTTCTTGGCCTGGTTTTAGCTGACGGTCCCAGAGTGGGCTAGGGGATGTCAACAATCTGTGTTTTCACTCTGGGACACTTGGTATCACTCCAGTGTTCCTCAGCCCATGTTTTATTCTAGGACTCACAAGTCCTTTTCAGTTCAGATTCAGTTAGCAGCTGTAGCCTACAAAAGCTTCACTCCCTGGTGCTACAGGCTCGTGCGGAGCAGTGACCTTTCCATGTAGGACCAAAGCTGCCCTGCACTGGGGAGCCCTTGAGGCTGTGTCTGGGCAAAGCACCTTGCCTGGCCCTCCTGCTGTGAGCACCAGGGTGCTGCTGGCATCCTCAGAAACACAGGCAACTCCTGCTCTCCCACCACGGTACTACTGACTGAAGGCTGCATCCAGCACAGGGCCAGATGGTGGCAGATCCAGACTCCTGTGAGACCCCATCGGTCCAACACATGGTGGCAGACCGTGCCTGGGCTCCCACATGGCCCTGCTCCTGGCTGGCTGTCAGCGCTGCTACCGGATCAGGACTGCTCACGCCCCTCGTCCTCGTAGGCAATGGCAATCCCTCGTCGGCCCTGCACAGCCTTGGAAACGGGTGTCTGTCCCAGCTGTTGCTCCAAGCCCTGCCAGCTGCGGGACTCCAGGAAGGAGGCTGTGAGGAGATAGAAAGGGAATTGTTACTGGGAGCACAGAAGGCAGCAGTGCCCCTGCACTGGGGCTCAGCCCCAGCATGAAATCGAATCACAAACCAGCAGGGCTGATCTCTGCAAGAGCATTTGTCTGGTCCCTGCAGGCTAGGGCAGTGCTGGGGGGCAGCTGTGAGGCTGGGGGCTCGCAGAGGTGGGTGGCACGCATCTCCCCCGTGATGAGTGAGAGATCAGGAACGGCCTCTGCTGCAGGAATGGCTGGTGGGAGCTCAACATGTCCATAGGCACCTGTCAGAAAACAGTAACATTAGCCTGGTGCTCACGTCTATCCTCTGGCCAGCTCAGAGCAGCAGGAACTGCAGCCTCCATGCAGGGAAGCAAGGCAGGATGAGCCCCAGGAGGGTGCTGGGAAGCTGGTTTTAGCTATTACCTGGCAGCAGGTCTCGGAAGTCAGTGAGGTAATTCCCTGTCCATTCACGAGCTGGATTACAGGCCAGTTCCAGCTCATAGGGGGTTACAACAGGCCGGTAGAAGTCACTAGAGTCTAGCAAGGAGTTCTGAGCACAGGCCACCAGGACAAAGACATCCACCTCCAGGAAGTTGGCCAACTTGGCAGGGTTTGGCTTCCCCACAGCCAGTGTGTAGCTGCGCTTGCCAGCCCGGCGCAGCAGCTCCCGGAGGTGCTGCAGCACATCCAGGTAGCCTGCCACACCAAGGGTGCCCACCAGGATGCCCACCACTCGGGCATCCCGGGCCCGCTCCACCAGGTAGAGCCGTCGCATCAGGGCACGGTTGACATTGAGGGTCTCCTGGCGGCCACAGTTGGTGGTGGGGTCAAAGGAGCTGAAGGAGCAGCGATTCCAGGTCAGCATGAAGTTGGTAAGGGTCAGGCCCTCGGTGCCCACAAAGAACATGGCACAGTCCTGCAGCCCTCCCGGTGCCTCCACCAGGAACTGGCGACCAAACTGCCGCTCCTCCCCAGGCAGTGCAGGAGCAGGAGGGTCTCCATACACCACCCTGGAGAAGATGACATTGGGATACTCGGGGCACAACTGCTGCTCCAGCTCACCTGAAGGAAGATAGGAGAATAAAACGTCCACAGATGGGACAGCAGATTGGGCTCGAGGAGGGAAATCAAGCCTCACAGCGTGGCCCGCGTGCCTGCTCCCCCTGCGGCAGCTCTGCAGAGAGCAGAGCAGCGCCAGAGGCCCCCTCCCTGACCCCGAGCACTCACCCATCGCATGGGCATAGACCACATCGCTCAGCACCACCACACGACTCTGCCGGTCGGCGTAGAGCTCCCGAAAGGCCTCTGCGCAACGCCCGATATCCAGGGGCTGTTTCCCGAAGATGTGCAGCACAGGGAGCTTCCTGCAGGGGCTGAGGCAGGCCGGGCCGTAGTGCAGCACCGCCTCGGCACACGCGTGCTCCGCGGCCACTTCGTCCACGCAGCAGCTGTGGGGAGAACCCGGTGTCAGACCGGCTCTGCGCCGCCGAGCTCTTCCCACTCCGGCCCTGCCAGGCAGGGGACACGCACCCCGTTCCTGCCCGCAGAGGAATGCCGGGACCCCGCACTGCCCCACACCGACCTGCCGTACGTGGTGTCTCCTAGGACATACACCTCAGCCCCTGTCTCCGCCTCCATCCGGGCCGCCACCGTCGCCGCATCCACCAGGAGCTCGTCCGGCAACTGGAGGGCGACCTGGGGAAGGGGGAAAGGGGGTGAGGCAGCAGGGAGGGGAGACCCGCTGCCCCCGGCCTCCTCCGCCCCCGGCCCCGCTCACCTTGCGGAACCCGCCGTCCCGTACGAAGGCGGCGGCCCGGCCCATCTCGTAGAAGCCGTCGAGGTCACCCCGCGGTGCCGGTGGTGCCGCCGCCGGGCCCAGCTCCCGCCTCAGCACAGCCTCCCCGTCGCTGCTGAAGGCTGTTGCCATGGTGCCGCGGAGCCAGGCGCGCCACACGAGCGCCTCTCAGCCTGCTTCCGGGAGAAGGCCCCGCCCCCCCGGCCGCGAAAATCCCGCCCCTGGTAAAGCGGAGCCTATCGCGCCTCACGGCATGGCGGAGGAGGAGAAGAGCAGCCAATTGGAAGTGGTCTTTTTTTCGCGGTGTGTTATGGTCTATGTAGTTCCCTTGCAGCTGTCAGGCCCGGCAACCAATAAGCGTGCGCTATGGAGGCGGTAACGTCACGCTACTCCCGCCCGGGCGCTGCGGTTCCGTTCACGTGTGCGCCCGGGTCAGGTGACGCGCGCGCTGCGGCCCGCTCGGCTCCCGGTCGGTCCCGTCCCGTCCCGCACCGCCGCCGCCATGACGGGGCTCGCGTTGCTGTACTCGGGGCTCGGCCTCGCCTTCTGGACCACGATGTTGGGCGTCGGTCAGCGCCGGGGCTGGGGTCACCGACAGCGGGGGGTCGCGGGGACGGTCTGTGGGGCGGGGGTTGTGGGGCAAGAGGGGGTCTGGGCACTGCGGTTTGGGCTCGGAGAGGGGCTGTGGTGTGGAAAAGGAAGGGGGAAGGGGGGGGGGCGCAGCGCTGACACGTCCCCGGTGGTTGAGCTGCTCACGGGAGGAGGTGGGAGGGCTGGCCTGTGGCACCGGAGCGCTGCTGTGGGGCTCCTCAGGCTGCATGTCACCCCATGGTGCTCTCGGCTGCTTCCTCGGGGGGTTTGGACCCCCAGCAGTGTCGTGTAAATGTCACATACCCTTGGACACGCGGCTTTTGGTGCTCTGAGCCTGTCCGGCTTGAGCAGCCCATCTGCTTCTCTGTGTGTGAGAGAGGAGGACGGTGCTGGTGCCAGTCAAGCGTTTGGTTTGGGTTTGGCAGACCAGGGGAGGTAAAGGCAGGTGCTTGTTTCTCTAGGCTGTGACAGTGGACGTTTGCCTCCTGCTTTGCCACAGCATAAGTAAAGGTGCAGTTTTGTCCAGATGATTGCAGAGCTGGTGTGTGGCTGTGCTGCAGCTTGTGGCAGCCCAGGCTTTGCTGCTGATCCCATCAGGCACGGGGGCACTGAGGACTGCCTGTGGAGTAGTGGATAGATTCTGTGCTGCAGCTGCTGGTTATTTCCTCTTTCAGTGCAGGGTGAAGCGGCCACAACCCAGGCAGAGGCTGAGAAGACCTTGGCTCCTGCCTCAGTGTTTGGGTGAGGGAAGAGACCAAGTCAAAAGCGGAGTGTGTCTCACTCCCTCATGTTTCTCAGGCCTGGTGAACCCAGTGCCGGGGTCAGGGCTGCCTTACTGGGTGCTCTGAATCATGGGCTCACACCAGTGCAAACTTGGCTGTTGGAAAATCTCAACGAGCTGAACCCAGATATTCTTAACTTCCCCTTCCCTGCTCTAATCCCTTTGTAGAGAAGGCATGAGCAGGAAGTGGTCTTGCTCGATGCACTGTTGCAGTGGCGTTTCTTTAGTGCTTTCTCTCCTTGTCCTGAGCCCTACTTTGGTGCTCTGATCCTGTTGCCCTGACTCTTTTCTGTCCTTATGGCTACAGGGCTGGGAGCCAGAACTCACAGGAAAGTGTCTTTCACCCTCTTCCTCTTGTATATTAATCCAAGGCTACACCTGCTCTTGAAGAGGTATAAGATGCCCTCAGGATCTGCCCTGAGCTGGTTGTAGCTCTTCTTTGCTACTCCTGGGGAGTGAGGGCAGGTGGGGCTGGTTGGGTTCAGTTCCTGCTCCACCAGCCAAGCAGCAAAGCCAAAACACAAGTCACAGACTGGCCGGGCCCAGCACAGTGGAGATCACCCCTGAAGGTCGCCAGGCATGCAGGCTGGGATGTGGCTTCCCTCAACGCTCCCTGACCATCCCTCACTGTTCTTCCTTTGTGTGCGTCGCTGCAAGGGAGAGGGCACCCTGATTCTGCTCCGGGAGGAGTGACGAGCATCACCACTTCCCATTTCTGGGCCAGCTCACCCAGCAGCGCTTGTATATTGTGAGGGGGGTGCTGAGCCCCTAGTGTGAGGTGTAACACACAGGGATGATGGCGACATCCCTGCTGTAAGGGCAGGTCTCCTTATGCTGCACTGCCAAGGCCCTCACATGGGATGAGTTGTCCTGCAGGACATGTTTTGTGGCCTCTTTGCTGCTTTTAAGCACATCAGAAGTCTCCCATTTTATCTTTTCTTGGCTTTTCACAGGGCTGGCATCACACAGCCACTGGCTCTGGTCAGCGATGGTAAAGGCATCTCTTTGCCCTCCTTATCTGGTGTGGAGCAGACAGTGCCAATGCTGCCTGTGCTTATCTGTCCCTTAGGGCTGGGTCACCCTCTCTTTTCCAGATGTGCACAGTGAGCAGTGTGAAGAGCAAGTGTCTCTTCTGGTCTATAGCTGGTTTTCCTGCTCAAGAGCTCAGACCAAGGCAGGGTTTTGGTGCACTTTGTGCTTAGGCTGGGCAGCGATGCTGGGTGTGACTCCCAGCTGCTGTTCAGCATGGGAGAGGAGCACTCAGGGTACAGCAGGGCAAGCTGTCCTTGTATCCCTTCCTGGAAAGGAAGAGCTTGTCTGGGTTTCTCAGGGCTGTGCTTTGGTGTCTTCCTGCCTGTGTTGGAATATGATTTATCTGGAAATGACTAACCCTGGGGGGGAATGCTGAGGACAACAGGCATGTCTTGAATGTCCACAGCCTTGGAAATGTGGGTGCTGAGGGGCAGCTGCAGCTTCTGGTGTTGATGGGATCCTGGATGAACAGCACAGACCATGGTGTGATGGTGACGGAGCAGCATGTGATGGTCAGTCAGGGCACAGCCTTGCTCCTCTGTGAGAGAAGAGCTCACAGCTGATCACTATGTGCCATGGCTCTCCATCAGAGTTCAGCTGTTGGGAGATGTGGATGGAGGCCATGTTGGGGCTCAGGGCTGTGGATTTGTCATCGCCAACACCAGGACAGGGTTGCCCTTGAACCCCTGTAGCCTAGCACAGCCTCTGGGTGTTCTGCAGGGTCAGGGAACAATGGGTGCAACAACCACTGTGATCCTCTGCTGGGTGAGGACTGGAGTATCACAGTCTGGGCTGTAATATCACATGTCTGGGCTGTCTCTGTCCTGAGCTCATGTGGGAGTGCTAGGATCAATGGGTTTGGATTTGGGGGGGGGGGGAACGACACAGACACCCTTCCTCACAGCTCTGCATGCCTGAGCCAGTCTTTTCAGTAGCCCACCTGTATGCTGTGCTGTGCTCCTGGGCCTCTGCTGTGGCAGTTCAGAGGTGTGGGAGGAAACAGCAGTGCCAGGAGGTCGCAGGTGCTTGTCTGAAGGTTTCTGTGTCACTCTTGCTTTCCAGGGATCTGCTACACAATATTTGACCTGGGCTTCCGCTTCGATGTGGCCTGGTGAGTTCCCTGTGAATACTGTTATCCTCAGGGCTGTGTGAGGAGATGGGCAGTGTTAGCAGTGCCTGCAGGGAACAGCACTTGCTTTTGAGCAACAGGCAGTGATTGTGCCTCACAAGGCAATAAGAGCTATAGTGAGCGGTGCCTCTGCTCTGTGTGAGGCAAGATAGATGCAGCACGTCACATGTATGTGTGGCTGGCTCCATACAGGGTCCTGGTGCAGCCATTACTGCCTTTCCCAGCCCAGGCTTCCCCTTCACAGTAAAATTCTGGGAGGAAGATCTGTCTATGCAGACAGTCTGCTGGTTGGCAGAGAGAGGCTCTTGTGTCCACTGTCTGGCAATACCCAACCCATTGTGGGCTGCATGACTGAGTGGGGGGCACCTGTTTTGGGGCTGTGCACCATGACTAAGGGGCTCATCCTGTGTGCTAACTCGGGGCACTTCTTCCTTTCCAGGTTCCTGACTGAGACCTCACCCTTCATGTGGTCCAACCTGGGCATTGGCCTGGCCATCTCCCTATCAGTGGTGGGAGCTGCCTGGTGAGTGGGGCTGGCTCTTCAGCAGGCTCCTGCTGTCCCACCTCAGTAGGTGTGCATACACTGTGGTTTTCCCACAGCAGAGCAGGGGCAGAACAGCATGTGCATGCAGGGGTGTGGAGCTGTGTGGGTCATCACAGCAGTGGGGCCAGGTTGCTGTGCTCCTGGGATGTCTCAGCAGATCACCTTACAGATGGCGGCACGGAGGCAGGGACAACCTTGGCTCTCTGGAAGCCGTACGCCTGAGCCCAGGCTATGCAGTGGTGGCTCTTGTGCCCCAGCAGTTCTGCTGGTGTAGATGGTGGAGCCTGGGACCACTTGTACCCTGGGGTTGGACAGGTCAAGTCTGCAGTGTCCTGCAGCTGCATGCCCCGTTCTTTGCTCAGCTGGAAGATCCTGGTTTCCCTATTGAATCTTTCTGTGAGTGCCAGATCCTCCACCAACCACCCTTCTCTGCCACAGGGGGATTTACATCACTGGTTCCAGTATCATTGGTGGTGGAGTCAAAGCCCCTCGGATCAAAACCAAGAACCTGGTGAGGTAAGCACAGACCTGGAGTTCATGCTCATGCTGTGCCTGAGTAGGGCAGGTCCCAGCCTGGTGTGGAGGCTCCTGTCCTATCTCTAGCTGGGTGCTGCTGGCAGACTGTTCCTTGCTGAGCTGCTGATGCTGTTTGCTCTCAAAACAAAGAGCTCTAAAGGAGCCAGAGCGCTGCCTTGAAGAGTCACTGTGTGATATCATGCAGTGAATAAGCCCAGTGTGTTCAAAACAAACACCCCGAGATCACACTTCCTGCCCCAGGAGAGGGTTCCCCTGGCCAGACCTTGCACAGCCTTTCCCCTAAGGAGCAGAAAGGGGCTGGTGGAGGGCAAGGCTCCCCAGGCCTGGTTCCCACAGGGCTGTTGCTGCTTATTCAGGTGGCACAGTGCGACCAGCACCCAGCCTTTCTGTTTGGCAGTTCCCCCTTGTTTCAGTGGAAAGCAGGGGGTAGGCTGCCTTGCCTTTCTGCCCTTGGTAGCAGTGGGGCAGGCTTAGATATGGCTCTGGGGGGGTCTGGCTGCTGGCTGGCTGGGCATGAAGTGGTGGAGGCTGCTCTGGGACATTGTGCTTAGACTTTGCCTTTCTCCCACAGCATCATTTTCTGTGAGGCCGTGGCCATCTATGGGATCATCATGGCAATTGTCATCAGTAACATGGCTGAGGTATGGGCTGCCCCTGTGGGCCACAGTGGAAATGGGCAACTGGGCGCAGGCCAGTGTTGTAAGCACTGGTCTTGTGGGAGCTTTGGGCACTGTTGTGGCGCTGCAGGCCCTTGGGTTGGTGGTCTGTGCAGTGGTTCTTGTGTACGCTGAAGAGCGGGTTGGGGAGTACACACAAGGCAGGTGTCATGAAGCCACTCAGGGACATGGATGCAGGGACCAGCTCTGGCCAAAATGCAGTGGCCTCGTGCTGTACAGGGAGCAGGGACCTCTCCCAGACACCATGAACTTGCCATTAACCCAGCCCCTTCGCTTTCTCTCAGCCTTTCACTGCAGTCATCCCAGAGGAGATTGGAGCCAGGAACTACCACGCAGGTAAGGACTGCTTGGTCACTGTGAACTTTACGACACCTTGACTGTCACTTTCTGACCCACCTACTGTATGTGTCTGAAGGACAAGTGACTCCTCTGCCAAAAAGTGGCTTTTTAATTACCTTCTCAAGGCAATCCTGCACCTTGCTGGGTGCTGTCACTTGCTGTTCTGGAGCTGCGGGAGCCAGGATGCAGCCAGGAGGACACTGCTGGGGCTTGGCAGTTCTGGCTCTCCCATCACCTGGAGGCAGAGCTGGTGCAGCATGCCCCAGGTGCAGGTAGAAGGGGGTTACCCCCTGCTCTCACAGTGTTTCTCTCTCACAGGTTTCTCCATGTTTGGGGCTGGCCTGACCGTGGGGTTGTGCAATCTCTTCTGTGGAGTCTGTGTGGGCATCGTGGGCAGCGGGGCTGCCCTGGCTGATGCCCAGAACGCCAGCCTCTTCGTCAAGATCCTGATTGTGGAGATCTTTGGCAGTGCCATAGGACTGTTTGGGGTCATCGTTGCTATCCTGCAGGTACCCGCCTCCTGGGGCCACCAGGCTTATATGAGCACAAGGTGCCTGTCACCCTGAGTGCTCTTCAGCTCCAGGGAGACATCCTAGGCTCCAGCATCATGCTCTGCACTGGGACAGGGAGGCCGCTGTCAGGGTTGGGGGTGGCACAGCTCTCTCCACAGTGTGCTGTGCCTGTGTGCAGTAGTGTGAACTCATGATGGTCCCTCTGAGCAACTGTCACCGAGTGTGTCACCTTGGGTGTACCCTGTGTGATATGTGTCTTATCAGTGAGGTGATAAGCTGTCTGCAGCTTCTGGATGGTTCTGATGCTTGGGTGGAACTGGGGTGCTAGGCTAGGGCGTGTGGGGCGCAGCCTAACCTCTTTTCCGTTTTTTTTTTTCTTCCTAGACATCTAAAGTAAAAATGGGCAACTGAGCCCTGTTGCACCCAGCCTGTTCCAGCCCACCCCAAGAGGTGCTGTATATACTTATTTAATGTTTCTATCCTTGACTGGGGTGGGAGCTGCCCAGCAGCGGGAGCAGGAGCCTGGCTGTGTCGAGCCCCTTCCCGCCAACCCATCGGCCGTTCGGAAGAAACAAACTTCTCTGTGTGACAAATCCTGCCCCAGCAGCCTGGGCCCTGCTGCTGCGTGTCCCCGGTGTGTGTAGAACCTACCACCAGTGCAGTTCTGTGTCCGTGAAATAAATAATGGTTCTCGTCCAAGGATGTAGCTCCTCCTCTGCCCTGTGCACACCTGGGAGGCTTACAAGGAGCAAGTGCTGATTCAGGCTGTCCTGCTGAAGGTTCCCCTCTGGCAGAGTCCCTGCTCTGCTCCAGGAGCCTGGTGGTGCCCTCCCTGTATGGGGTTAACCCTGCTGCCTCTCTGGGCTGTGGGAACTCTGGTATGTGGGAAAGCTCTGCTTTGCTGCCCAGAGCAGGTAGGAGGCTGCTGGAGCAGGCATCGGGCAGCTCCATGCTGCTTCTGCCAGGCTCCTACCAGCACTGGCACTGCCCCACACAAGGCATACTGGAGCCACAGGCACAAACTGGTTTGGGCTTTCGGCTCCCATCCAGGTAATTTAGCACACAGTGTCCATAGCCCCATTGTGTAGCTTGGGAGCACCAGAAGGACACAGGAGCAAAGATCTTGCCCCTTCCAAGGCTGTCCTCCAGCCAGCAACTCCCTCATGTGACTGCTGGCTGGGTGCTGCTGGGTGTCCAGGCTCCCCATTCTGCTGTGTCTCTTGGTCCTGGGGATCCCTTGGCACCAAGGTCCTGGGGTGGGGATGCTTTGTGCTCCTCTGCTTCCCTCTCCCTGGCTGCGGTGAGTACAGCATGGGGAAGCGGCTGTGGAGAGCTGGGCCTGCAGCTCATCTGCTGCTTGGGGGAAGGGAAGAACAAGGTCCTCCTGCCTCCGCTCTGCAGAGCTTGGAGCCGATGCTTCTGCAGTCTGCTGTATCCAGCACAAGCCCTCATCCTGCTGTGCTGCCAGAACACTTTTACAGGGGAGGCATTGATCCTCAGTGCTGTGAGTGCTGCTGCAGAATGGATATGCACCTGGAGCTGCCCATCTCTTTTCCCACCTGGATGTGACAGGCTGGGGCAGCGGTGGGGCTGCTGGAGCCATGGAGGGGTTTGCTCACAGCTGCTGATTTTTGCCCTTGGGTTAGGACAGCATGACCTCTCTGAAGTCTGCTGGCTCTGCTCCACATTGTCCTGCGTGTTTCGGGATAGCAGGGTGTTTCAGCCCTGGCTGTGGGGAAGACTGCTGGGGCAAACCAGAGCACTGCTCTTGCTGGCTGTCCTCTAGGGCTGGAAGCTGTGAGAGCAGCTCCATGTGCCCCACATAATGGCAGGGACATAAGCTGGGCCCTGCCTGCTCAGAAGAAAGGGTGTTGGGTGTTTTGCTCATCCCGTGCGAGGCCTGTACCCTCATCCTCTGGAATTGCTGCTGCTGGAGGCCAGGAACACCTGAAGGCCCTGGGAGCTGCAATCTCATCAGACCCACACCAGGCTCATGGTGCTGTATTCAGGAAGGAGGTACCTGTGCTGGTGGTATAAAGCTGCTCTATGGGTTACGAGCTGCCTTGAAAGGCTTACCTACTTCTCTTGGGGATGGGTCTTGCCTTGTCCTGCTTTGGCTTGATAGAAATCCACCCACTGTCAGAAATCTCCCTCTCTGAGGTGCTTTTGAGCCCTGCAAATCTCACCTGTGTGTATCACAGCCAGAACAGGCTCCAGACTTGCCCACAGACCTCTTATGAGGGCATGAGACCCACCAGGGCAGGGCTCATGGCATCTGGGGTAGCCCACAGCCTGCCTCCCATGGCGAGGTGAGCATCCCCTGTGCTCCCTTGTTCTAGGTCCATGCCTTTGAGTTCTAGGACCTGGGTGTGCTAAATGCGTGCTGCCCAAGCATGGAGAAGAAGCTTAAGCAGGGCTTCAGCATCTTGTATGTCTCATTTAAGGAGAAGCAGCAGGGGGAGTTGAAAGATGATTCGGTGAGTACATGTAAGTACTGGTGGGGAAATGCCACCTGCTGAAGAACTGAACCAAGAGGTGGAGGCAGAAGCTGGACAAGTGCCAGCTGGGCTGGGTGAGTGCTGCTCCAATCTCTGCTGTCAGGTTGTCTTCTTAAGGGAGCAGCTGCGGGGCAAGGGGCAAGCCCTTGCTGCGGTGAGTGTCCTGACACAGGCGCTAGCAAAGGGGGCTGGGGCTGACCAATACATACCATACCATCGCATTGCTGGTAAGAAGGGGCAGGCTGCGAGTGGCACAGAAGTTAACTCCTGTTGGGCCGAACTCGCGGTGGGACCAGCCCAAGATCTTTTGTTGATGTTGTTACAGAGTGGAATTCGCAGCGTTTCCTAGCAGTGGAACAGGGCGGGGAGAGGGGGAAGGCACAAATAGGTCATGGCGGGCGCTGAACCCGACACTCGGGACGGGCCCGGGTGTCTCCAGGCAGCGGGAGGGAGGGGAGACGGGAACACCGAGACACCGCGTCCGGGGTGCCCAGGGGCGCTCGGGGGGTGCCGGTGCCGCGCTTGGGCCCAAGGCCTGTGGGCATCGAGCATCCCGCGGAGGGGGATGAGGGGTCTGTGTCCGTGGGGTCCCGGTCCCCGAGGGGCTGCCCCGGCCCGGCGGAAGCGCGGCCCCTGAGTGAAGGGCGGGCGGCGGCGGCGGCCCCGCCCGGTGCGGCGGCGGCGGCGGGCGGAGCCGGCGTGCGGGCGCGGCCCCGTCTCCCTGCGGCTCTCGGTGGTGCGGCGGCCCGGCCGGCAAGGCCCCCCCGCAGCCCCGGGCATGGGAGCCCGCGGGCCGGCGGCCGGGGCTGGAGGAGGAAGAGGAGAAAGAGGAAGAGAAGGAGGCGGCGGCGGGGGCCGCTGACCGGCGCCGGGGCGGCGCGGCAGCCCCGAGGCCGCGGTGAGTGCAGCGGCGCGGGCAGGCCTGGCCGGGTGGGGGAGGCCCGGGATGCGACCCGCGGGATGCGATCGCGGTCACTTATGGGTGGCACAGCCCCGGCTCCGGGAAAAGCCCCGTTTCTGTGGTTGTTTCTCGTTTTTTAGTAAGTTTGTGTGTGTGTGTTGGGGACTGGGAGAACTGGGGAGGGGTTGGCTGTACTGAATGTGCCCCCTTACCCCGCTTGTGGCCACCGGGGCCGTCGGCTCCCCCAGTGCCTCCCTTCTCCCAGCCTAGGGATGTCCTGTGGGAAAAGGGAGCCCGTAGGGACAAGCATCCCCTCCAAAACGAGCATCCCAGCCCCATGGCACACACCACAGCGGGGTGAACCCCTGGGGACCAGCGCCCCAGCCCCACGTTGCTTTTAGCCTCTCGCACCCTGTGGAGATGCTGTGTGTGGGAGATGACATCATGTTTCACAGCCCCTTGCCTAGCGGGTGGTTTTGAGCCCACTCATGTTGGTGGCATCCTGTGGCCGATGGAGCTCTTCGCTTTTGTTCCCGTTGAGCACCACTCCCTGCTCGCCTCGTGGACCGCCCTGCTAAAGGGTCCCTAAAACCTGCTCTTGTTTTTCCCTCCCTGCCTGGCTGTTGAGATGCCACTACTCCATGTGCTGCCTGCTGCCAGGGGTTTTGGGGAGGGTTTCTGGCAGGCACTGGTGGCACACAGGTCTCTGTGTTGAGGGCTGTGCTGGGTAGATAGGGCACTGTGACCATGGAAAGGTTTAGGAGATAACAGCAAAATCAGCTTTTCTCCAGAGGGCAACTTTCTAGAACAAACCTGGATGAGGAGTTGGGGTGCTGGCATGTGCATGGATGTGCCCGTGGGGACCCTCACTCTGCATCCTGCGGAAACAGAGGATGGACACAGTTGGAACATCAGTCTCTGAGCCTTTTCCAGCACTTCTCTGCCTGCCATGGGGTCCTGCCAGCACCCCATTGCCTGCTGGGTCAGCCCTGTGGCTGGGAGTGCAGCCAGAGCAGGGCTGGGTGGGAGATCCCACTTCACACCTCAGCTCCTATCCCCATTCCCAGCCAGTCGATGCTGGCCGGGTGCCCTGCAGCTCCCTGGGGAGGCCCCACTGGCCAGGGCTGGCAGCTGCCGGGGGGCTGGCCCCAGACCCCGGCTGGTTGCCAGCACCCTCAGGTCCTAGCTGCACTCCTAATGGGGGTCCTGCTACAGATCCTTGTCTGTTGGGATCCCACCGGCATCCCTGCAGCAGCACTGGCCTGTCCCAGGACCCCCATGGCCTTGTGAACCCCTGTGCCTGTCCCTTGCGGGGTCGCCTTGCCCTGTTCTAGCGGTTCTGAGAGCAGAGACTGGGACAGGAGCCAGGGCAGGAGCTGGGGTGCATGGCCATGCTGCGCTCCCAGCAGTGGCAGGGCTGGGAAGGGACGGGCGATTTGGCTCGGCCAGGGCTCTCCGGTGACTCTCTGGGCTGCCTTCCCAGCAGGGCTCTGGCACAGCTCCAGTTGTCATGTGGGAGATAAGGACCCTGGCTCCCATCGGCTCCCAGCAGCCCAGGGGTATTCCCACCAGCACCAGGAGGAGAGAGGACCTGCACTGCTGGCTGTAAGCTGGACCCCCCTGGACATAAGCTGGGACATCCCCCTGGCTCAGCTCAGTGTCTGCCCCACAGCTGCTTATCCCACTGGGTACCCTTCAGGCATGGCGCTCATTGCCAGGCTCACTTTGGTGCTTTTGCTGGGGCGCAGGATGGCAGGGTAGGGACAGAATGGAGAGCAGGGAAATGGAGTGCCTTGGAAAGGGGTGGCCGGTGGGAGTGCCCTTGGGACATCCCAGCTGGCTGCATTTTTGGAGAGCATGGGGTCTCCATGGAGGCTCTTTATGGTGCTTGTGGGAATGTCCCTGAACCCTGCTGGCGGTTGATGGGAATGGGGAGTGGGTCTGGCTTGGACTTAGCCTTGGAAAGCAGAAAGGGGACTTGCTGTGTAGGGCTGGGGGCCTCTTGTGTCTTCATGGCTGAGCCTTTAAAGCAGAGGTCCAAGCAGAGTACTAAGCCAGGTTTTTTTCTGGCATACTGACTTGCCCATCACCTCTGCATCAGGTGCTGACGCAGGTCAGGTCCTGCACTGCTCCTGCTGCCTCAGTGCTGCTCAGGTTGGCAGTGTCCTGAGCATGGGGTGTCTCAGCAGGATCGAGACCGTGGCTGGAGCCGCCCCCCTGCCCCGCTAAGCGCACATGTCCGCCTGCCCGTGCCCAGAAGATGACCAGGCTGCTCTTGGGGGTGACCCTGGAAAGGATTTGCAAGGCCGTGCTGCTGCTCTGCCTGCTCCACTTCGTTATCATCATGATCCTCTACTTCGACGTCTACGCGCAGCACCTGGACTTCTTCAGCCGCTTCAATGCCAGGAATGCCTCGCGCGCACACCCCTTCTCCAACTCCTCCCGCCCCAACGGCACCGTCCCCAGCTACGGGCCGGCAGGGGCTGAGGCCCCGTCCCCCAGCGCTAAGCCCAGCACCAACCACTCCGCCACTGAGAAACCCTTGCAGCCCTGCCAGGAGACACCTCCCGGCTTAGGTGAGACGTGGGGTGAGCGTCGTCAGAGAGTTAGACTTTTTCTTCAAGCATATTAAAGGCCAGGTTGACAGAGCCTTGGGTGACATGGTTTAGTGTGAGGTGTCCCTGCCCATGGCAGGGGGGTTGGAACTGGATGATCTTAAGGTCCTTTCCAACCCTAACTATTCTGTGATTCTATGGGGCTGGGGTGGGTGCCCATGGATGGCATCCTTGTCCCATGGGCCCTGGACATGGCTTCTGCCTGGTCTCAAGGGTGGAGTAGTAGAGAAACCCTGGAACTGGTACCAGGTGTCAGGTTTTCTTGGTGGTGTCTCCAGTCTCTCTGTCCCTATTTGGGAAGAGTTTTGGGCATCATCTGCCCTTGGCAGTGCCAATCCCCCTTGCAGGTCCCCCTCGCTGCTTGCTCTGCCAGCCTGGCTGGGAGCGGTGGGTGACCATGACCCTGACCAAATCCTGTCCCGTGGGCATCACCCTGCCCTCCCTCTTGCAGTTGGGCGCCTGCTCATTGAGTTCAGCTCTCCCATGAGCATGGAGCGGGTGCAGCGGGAGAACCCCGATGTGCGCCTGGGTGGCAAGTACACCCCCCCGGACTGCCTGCCCCGGCAGAAGGTGGCCATCCTCATCCCATTCCGGCACCGCGAGCACCACCTCAAGTACTGGCTGCACTACCTGCACCCCATCCTGCGCCGGCAGAAGGTGGCTTATGGCATCTACATCATCAACCAGGTGAGATGGGCAGGGGTGAGGAGGTGCTGGGGATGGGGTGGGCAGGCGGGCATTGCTGATCTCTGCCCTGCAGTTCGGCGAGGACACCTTCAACCGGGCCAAGCTGCTGAACGTGGGCTTCCTGGAGGCACTCAAGGATGACGAGGAGTACGATTGCTTCATTTTCAGCGACGTGGACCTCATCCCCATGGATGACCGTAACCTCTATCGCTGCTACGAGCAGCCGCGGCACTTTGCTGTTGGCATGGACAAGTTTGGGTTCAGGTGGGTGAACTGAAGCCTGGGGTGTTTCCACACAGCCAGGGCTGGTGTGGCTTCACTGGGATGGCACTGGGGCCACCAACCTCGGTTTTTCACCTGGGCCTGCATGGGGTTGCTGGCTTGAATTGTGGATATGGGATGGGAGGGAGCACAGGGCCCTGGATGGGAGGGTGACACAGAAGAGGGCTGTTGCTTGTACCTGCAGGTCCCTGTGGGGCTGACTCCCTCCCATCCTTACCTGTCCCTGGGGCTGACCTGTTTGCTCTCAACCTGCAGGCTGCCCTACGCTGGCTACTTTGGTGGCGTCTCTGGCCTGAGCAAGTCCCAGTTCCTGAAGATCAATGGCTTTCCCAATGAGTATTGGGGCTGGGGAGGAGAAGATGATGACATCTTTAACCGGTAGGTGCCAAACCATCGCCAGCAGCAGCTGGTTGGGGTGTGCTGGGGTCTTCCTGCGAGCACTGACCTGGTACCTTTACCAGTGCTGGGGCTCCTGGTTTTGTGTGGCACGTGCACAGGGTATGCCACATAGAATAATAGAGTCAACTGGGTTAGAAGAGACCTTTAAGATCAAGTCCAATGATTATCCCAGCACTGCCAAGTCCATCACTAAACCGTGTTACTGAGGGCTCATCTACATGTTTTTTTGAACACTTCCAGGGACGGTGATTCCACCACTGCCCTTGGCAGCCTGTTCCAATGCCTTTTGGTGACAGATTTTTTCCTAATATCCAGTCTAACCTCCCTGGTGCAGCTTGAGGCCGTTACTTCTTGTCCTGTCACTTGTTACTTGAAGAGACCGACCCCCACCTCACTACAATCTCCTTTCAGGTAGTTGTAGAGAGCAATAAGATTCCCTCTTGAGCCTTCTCTTCTCCCAGGGGGAGGAGGCAGGAAGGAATTTAATTACCGTCCAACTTGAGGCTTGGTGATCCCCAGGGATTGAGCTGTCTCTTTCCAGGATGTTGGTATGCGCCTTCCTTGCGGCTGAATCTCGCGGCGTGCTGGGGCTGTCGTGTTATGAGCTGTGCTAGTGTGGCAGTGTACCTGCGGGCTCTGCTCCAGGCCACGGCCGGAACACTAAACTTGGAAGCATCCAGGGCTGGGAAGCAAAACTTGGAAGTGTCTCAGTGGTGGCTGTGCAGCAGCCAAACAGGCATTTCTGCCAGCAGCCGGCAGGCTGCAGCACAGCTGCATGATGAGCCAGAGCTGAACCATCATCCACACAGCTGCTGCCTCTTCTAGCGTTCTGTGGCACTGCCCAGGGTAGCAGTGTGTGGCTGGTGGTGCACAGCCACCCTATAATGGCTGGTCAAGCAATCCACCCCTTTTAGGTGCTATGTACAGGCTGGCACAGTTGCAGTTGCTGTGGGCAGGCTGGCATGGTTGCAGTTTCCATCCATGGTGGGCTTGGGGTGGTGAACAGGCAGCGTGTGGAGCTCTGGGAGAGCTTCAGGCTGCCCTTAACATGTAGAGAGGGCCCCAAGGGAAGGGCTGGGCACCGGCATTTGGAGAATGCAAAGAGCAGGGGCTGCAGAAGGGGGGATGGATGGTGATGTGTGCTTGGTGCTGGCTGACCGCAGCTGCCGGCCAGTGGAGATGGAGGTCGCCGGGCAGGAGCGGTGCTTTGGGCACACTCAGCCGTGGGGCACATGGCACCCTCCGTCATGGCACTGGCTCATGAGGGGTAACAGGTTTAAACTTAAATAGGGGAAGTTCAGGTTAGATATAAGGAAGAAGTTCTTTACTGTGAGGGTGGTGAGGCACTGGAATGGGTTGCCCAAAGAAGTGATAAATGCTCCATCTCTAGCATTGTTCAAGGCCAGGTTGGACAGAGCCTTGGGTGACACAGTCTAGTGTGAGGTGTCCGGGCCCATGGCAGGTGGTTAGAACTAGATGGTCTTAAGGTCCTTTCCAACTCAAACCATTCTATGATTCTATGATCTTGCCTTGGCACAGTGCTTTTTAAACAGGCATAAGTTTATTTGGTCTGGGGGCTAATCCCCAAAGGCCTCTGGGCTTTGGAATGTCACACCCTGGTGCTCACACTCTGATCCCTTCCTGCTTCCACCTCCCAGCATCTCCCTGAATGGCATGAAGGTGTCAAGGCCCGACATCCGCATTGGGAGGTACCGCATGATCAAGCATGAACGGGACAAACACAACGAGCCCAACCCGCAGAGGTGAGTGAGCCGCAGGGGCCGGGGCAGCCAAGGTGCCAAGTGATCATTGGGCTGCCTCCAGACACCAGCTTTCCTGCTGTGATCACTCCCATGGATGCCCAGCACCACTGGCACTATATAAGCTATGTCCTCTCCCTCATCCTGCTCCCCTTTCCACCAGATTCACCAAGATCCAGAACACCAAAATGACGATGAAGCGGGATGGGATCAGCTCACTGCAGTACCGGCTGGTGGAGGTCTCACGCCAGCCCATGTACACCAATATCACAGTGGAGATCGGCAGGCCACCGCCCCGCCTGGCCCGGGGCTAGTGCTTGTGCCACCGGCAGAGTCACAGGGACCCGGCTCTGTGTCCGGGCTGGCTGGGCAAGGTGGGTTTTGCCCCGGCTTGAGAGCCAGGACTGGACAGGGATGTTTTCTCCCTACTCTGCTGCCTTCTGGAGACGGCTGCCTCCCAGCTGGCCCCTCGCTCCCCAGGATTTCTCTGTCCCCCCTGTCCCCACGAGTGTGTTTGCAGGACCCCCACCCCATACTCACTGTGTTGGTGGACGAGATTGGTCACCCCTGGCACAGGGGGAGGGGGCAGCCCCAGCACTGGTGAGGAGCCCCCTGCCTATGCCAGCTCCTGCCTGCACACTGGGCTAGAGGGCGAGATCCCGCTGCTCTGGGAATGCAGGAGGGGTCCCCACCAGCACTGCGAGAAGTGGGGTGCAGGCTTCCCCCTTCGGCAGCGCTGGAGCCGCTGCTGCCCCAGCCAGGGGTGGGAGCAGCCCAGGCCCCCCTGAGCAGGCAGGATCAGGGTGAGGTTGCTGCCCTGTTGGGCACGCAGACATGGCTCGCTGTCTTCCTCTGCTTTAGTCTGGTGCTTAGAGCTGGGCCCTGTCTCCGCTCTGCCAAACAGAGACCTCTGGTTAGCGAATACCCCTCGCTGTGCCTCAGTTTACCCAGGGCCAGGGGCTGGCAGCCATATCCCATCCCCTCGCCCCCAAGGCAGATGCTGTGTGCATGCAGCCCCTGCCTGCACCTGCCCTCCCCACTTGGGGGGTGGGAATGGGGCTCATTTCAACCCCTCTTGGTGTGGGCTGGCACCAGGAGGGGCTCGCCCTGCAGAAGCAAGTGTCCCACAGGCAGTTTGGAGACTATTGGAGTCTCCCCCTTTTCTGGCTTCCCCCTTCCTTGGGGCAGGGGGGCTGCAGGCAGGAGAGGTCGGGGCCATGCAGGGCAGGTGCCCTGTGCCCCTCCATGGGACTGAGAGCCCCAGCAGCCCCCCACACCCCGCGGTGGGCCGGGAGCAGCGGGGCTGGGAGCGGGGCAGCACGCCAGGGCAGGGGGGCACCGGCGACTTTTGTACATTTGAATGTCTGACCCTTTTTTTCAGCGTACGTTGAATGCAGCGTTCGGTCGCAGAGACCGGGGGTTTTGTATTTAATAAAAGTTTGAAAAGTTCGTGGGGTTTGTGGAGCTGGGCTGGGGGGAATCACCACGAGATGGGGCGGGTCCTGCATCCAGTGGGATGTGGAGAGGGGAACAGCACTGCCTGCTACCTACAGGGGGCTGGCAGAGCCCACCACCACACACACACCATGGGGACCTCCCCAGCTTGCCCAGCAATGGGAGCTCCTGCCCTATAAGGTGCCCAGCCCCAGCTAGGGTGAAGTACCCAGGCCACGTGGGCAAAACTGGCTGTCTTCACTGTGCCATGGACAAGTGCTCCCCTGCACCTGGGCGGACAATGCTCTCCCCTAGCAAGGACAAGCCCCCTGTCCCCATCCACTGCCCTATCTCCAGGTGGTTTTGGAGACCCAAGTGGGACAAGGAAGCATTTCCCTGCTGAGTACCAGAGCTAGGCATCAAGGGGAAAAGGCTGCACCCATGGGACATCATCCCCCACTCTCCCCCCAACTACCTCCCCAGCCTCCCCAAAGAAGGTCACATCAGGACACCATTTGGAATATAAATCTCATTAAAATCTAGGATACTTTAGAACTCTACACCGGGAGATACACTGGCACAGGCAGCGCTGCCCAGGGACGCGCGCATTATTGCTAACAATTAGAGGTGAAGAGTAGCGGCGTGACACGTGGGGCAGGGCATGGGCACCATGCAGGAAACTGTGCCCCTCGCCGCGGCACGGTGGGGGTCTCAGGACGGGGAACGGGGGGAGCTGGAACATCCTGCCGGGGCTCAGCACCCGCCGCCTGCCGCCTCCCACCACCGTGCCGAGCCACGCCGTGTCCCTGTGCCAGCCTTGGGGCTGTGGCATGGGGAGCGCAGGGAGCTGGCTGGGAGGGGAACAGTGGGGTGGGAAGGGTCTCACCCACCCACCCTGGATTGAGAGCTCCAGGCCCTTTGGCTGGAGCTGGAAGACAGATTTAAAACCGCCCGGCCTTTGCCAGTGCATCCTGCTCCACTAATACTGGTTGGGGACAGTGTCCCCAGATGGCTCGGAGTGAGCGGGCTGGTGCAGCCCTTCACATCTCTGCTGGTACCTCTTGCTAGCAGCAGCTGAGGGAGGGGGGGATCGGTCCATTTTGCTCCCCCTTAGCACCATGGAAGGCCCCCCCTGCCCATACCAAGGCTGCTAGGGAGAGCTGGACCCTGGTCCTGCCCCATCACCCCCCAAACAGGCTTAAGTACTCGCCAGCCTCCTGCCCCACCATGGGGCAGGCAGCAGCATCAGGCTGTGCCCATACTGCTTATGGCTACGCCAGCTTTGCTGGTGATGCCTGGCCACCCAGATGGGCACCCACAGCCTCCCAGAGGGGCCACAGGGTGGAGGGGTGCACGGTGGGGGCACATACCAGCTCACCACCTGCACAGCCCTGGGTACCGTGCGTATGTGCGTGCCCACATAGGCCACATGCATGCCCTTAATCTGTCGGTGAGGGACACACGCGTGCACGCGTGTGCACTAAGTGCTTGTTTCTTGTGCCATAAGATCTTGCTGCCCATGCAGGCAGCGTGCTTGTTCCCATCTCCCTGTGCTAGCTCTGTGCCTGGCACCATCCCTGGGCATGGCCACCAGTGGGACCCTGAAGGCTTTGAGCCACAGTGGGTGCCCACCCGGGCTGGGGGGTCCTGCAGTGCCAACCCCACCACAGTGCCCCTGTGCACACACACTTGGGGTGGCCATGGGCAGTCTCAGCGTGGTCCTACCCCACTCCCTCCCCATGGCTAGGCCAGGAGGATGCCCCACAGCGGGGCATCTGGCTGCAGGGGGGCTGGGAGCCATGGGACATCCTGCTCCCCCATCCTGTGCCTCCCCCTCCCCGAGCAGGACCCCTGCAAAGTGCCTCTGCCTCCCGGCCCTCCCAGGGCTGTGCCCCCTCCTCTCTTGTCCCAGCGTCGCGCACAAAGGTTACCGTAAACATGAGGGTTAACAAACGCCACGGGGGGGTCGGGGTAGTTAACCGGTGAGGAGGTGGGGGGGCCTCGGGGATGGGTGCTGAGAGCCCCCCGTGGTCCGGTGCGGCCCGGAGCCAGGCTCCGCCAGCGGAAGGTGCGAAAGTGTCACCGCGCAGGAGGGGTTAGAGGGGGTGCGGGGATGGTGGGGGGTCACAGTCTGGAGTCCTGGCTGTGGGCTGAGCCGTTGCTGCCCTGCACGGGGGACGCAGCCTCCACTTCACTCCGGCTCTTCTCCGGCTGCAGGGGCTGCACCTCCAAGTGGGACTCAGTGGAGGGGCTGAACGCTGGGGCGTAGCGGCCGCTGCGGTGCTCTGCCAGCGCCGGGCCCCAGTCCTTACTTGCCTTGGTGGCATTTTTCAAGCGCTAGAGAGAAAAGGAGAGCAAGGGGACATGGTTAGCACCCACCATGCTCCCCTGCCCTGCCCTGCACTCCCAGGGAAGCCTCAAGATCGGATACCCCATGGATGCCGCCTTCTCATAGCCACTGTGGGTGTGTAGGCAAGTGAAGGACAGGCTTACAGGCAGTCCCGTGTGGGACATGGACAAGGGGGTCTACACCCTAGTCACCTACCTCCAGCAGTGTGTCCCCCTCAGAGCAGCACACTTTGTATATGGCATAGATGGGGATGCAGATGACAGAGGAAAGTGCCATGAGGAAGCCGATGCTGATGGCCCAGGTGGGGTAGATGTAGTCGTTGTAGGAGATGGGCCGGTACTGGATCACTGTGAAGACCAGGATGAACTGGGGAGGGACAGGCAGGATCAGCCAGTGGGGAGCACCCAGCCTGCTCTGTGTCCCCCCAGTCACCCTGCTCTGCATCCCCCCAGTCACCCTGCTCTGCCCCATCCCCCACTGCTCTCCTGCAGCCCAGCACCCTCCACCCCAGCAGGCTGCTCAGGTGGGCTCTTTGCCTCCTCCTTCCATGGCCCCAGGCCCCATAGTCACAATGCTCACAAAGATGATGGCAGGTGAGATGAAGCGCCAGCAGATCTGGAAGAAGAGTGGCGGTGGGAAGCCCAGCATCATCTCAATGTCCTTGAAGTAGTTGCGATGCCCTGGGGGGGGAAACGAACCCATCAGCCCCAGTGTGAGACGGATGGGAGCCTGTTGGGACCCCCACCATTGCCCATTGTCTGCTCCAGATCTCAGCGAGTGGGACCCATCAGGCTGCTCAGGTCACACCTGATTGGCCAACAGCCTTGCCAGCTAGCACGCAGCAGACCACCGATTGGGTAGATATCAGAACACCCCCTTCCCCATTGGCTGACTGTCCACCTACCGTAGATGTACATGATGGCCACACACATGATGCAGGAGATGACGACTAGGGAGAAGCTGGCGGCATAGTTATCCATCAGCAGGAGCCAGTAGATGCCCGCCTGTGAGAGGGACCCATTTAGCACAGCTGCCCCAGCGGGTACCACTGCTGTTGGCATGGCAACAGCACAGCCATGCTGCCAGTGTTGTGATGGCAATGCACAGCCGAGGTACACCCACAGACATTGGCATGGCAACACGCAATGCCAGGATCAGCATGGCGACGCTTAGTCTGGATACTATCACCACTGTTGGCATGGCAACACCAGGCCTTAGGTGTCACTACCACCAGGGTGGTCATGGCAACAGTTTTTAGTGTCAGCTGACAATCACCATGGCAACAGCACCCCACCACCACAGCCCCATGGTCACCTACCTGTGTGGTGAGTGGAACACCCAGCAGGAAGCCCGCCACGGCTACCCCCAGCGTCACAAAAGTCTTCCTGCGGATGATCCACTCGTTGCCCACCTCATCCACAATGGCCGTAACCAGTGTCTCCAGCAGGCAGAACTGCACGTGGGGCAGAGAGGGCAGTATGTCACCACCATGTCCCACCATGCCACCACCATGTTCCACCTTGCCACCACCATGTCCCACCTTGCCACCACCATGTAACACCTTGCCATCCTGTCCCAGTACACTGGCCCCAACATGACCTACCTGTGTCCCCAGCCCCAGGAGGATGAGCATGAAGAAGAAGAGGATGGACCAGAGGGGTGAGATTGGGAGCAAGGTGAGGGCTTCCGGGTAGGCAACAAAGGCCAAGCCAGGGCCATGGTCGGCCACCTTGGAGACATCCACGCCCAGGTGGTTGGCCATGAAGCCCAAGATGGAGAAGATGACGAAGCCGGCGTAGACACTGGTGGCACAGTTGGTGATGCTGATGATGATGCTGTCCCTGTGGGGAGAGGTCTGGGCTGGTGACAGGTCCAACAGACAGCAGCAGGGTTGGTGGAGCCATTGTTGGGCACTCACCGGTAGCAGTTGTTGTGGAACTTGTTGTAGGAGGCCATGGTGATGAGCCCACCCCAGGCACAGCCCAGTGAGTAGAAGATCTGCGAAGCTGCATCACCCCACACCTGCAGCAGTGGGGTGGTCAGTGCTGTGTCCCCATTCCCCCCTGTCCACCCGCCACCCCTCATCCCTGCTCACCTTGGCATCAAGGATCTTGTCCCACTGGGGCGTCAGGTAGTAC